AGTGCATGGACACTTCCACTGGCACCAACACTACCAGAAGTTAATTTAACAAACATCCACATCTTTATGAATCACACCAGGGTTTCTGAAGGCCATCCCCAGCACAACCATGCTATGTTAGACAAGAAGAGCCCTTAGTCCTTCTCCTGTATTTTCTTCTGGCCCATGCAGCATTTTCCTTTACTCTCAGCACAAGGTCATCCTTATAGCTGTTGGGGTTCTTTGTAATGGGGTCTGGAAGTTCACTAAACCTTAGACACCACAACCCAATGCGTTGTGCACCAGGTATCTTGGTGTGTGTTTCAGAAAGCACATTTCAAAACCATTTCAAAAGTCAGAACACTCCTAAAAATACTGCAGAAAGAAGCTGCCATGAGCTTGGATATGAGGTTTGAACTGAGAGTGGAGAAAGTTTTCATTGAATTGTTATGATCAGTAAACCCATTCATTTCAGTCTTTTAAGCACACATTTAAAATACATTGAAATAAATGAGATAATATTTCTAATTAAAACGGTGGGCAAATATTCTGATAGAGTAACCCAGGTTTTTTTATGCCTTCATCAGACTTACACTAACAAAACTCCTGTGAGCATTTTCTACCTTAAATTCATTTAAGATAAGACAGGAACTGGGATGGCATTGGGGCTCAAGGATGCCTGCACAGGAAACTCCTTCCTAACACAGATCCCAAATGTGCACAAGACTGCAACAGGCAGTGCCCAAGGAAGGCAACTTTGTCCCTTGGATGCCAAACAGAAAGATGAGGTTTTTTTTCCTGCTGACAGTCCAACCTTGCCAAAAGAAAGGCTCCTGCTGCCTTACAGTTTGGATGGTCACTTGCAAGCTGAGAATTGCTGTCTGACACAAGGGTGTAGGGATGTGGGGGTTGGCCTCTTCTCCTAAGTAACAAGTGATAGGACAAGAGGAAATTTGTTGCTCTCACAGAAATTGCTTTGAGTTGTGCCAGATTTAGACTGCACATTAGGAGAAATTACCTCACTGGTCAAACACTGGAAGTGGCTGCTCAGGAAAGTGGTGGCATCACCATCCTTGGAAGGGCTCAAAACCCGTGTCAAGGTGGAGCTTAGGGACTTGGGTTAGTGGTGGACTTGGCAGTGCTTGGTTAATAGTTGGACTCAGAGGTCTTTTCCAAACTTCATGATTCCATGAACCTTTTTGGCCCCTGAAGAAGCAGCCCAGTAAAATCTGTACTCCAGTCAACCATGCTGTAGTTCCTAAGAGGAAAATTTAGGTCTAAAGAGCTGTCAAAGCAGCACCTTAGCACAAACCTTTTTCATAATGAAAAATATTAGCACTTACAAAGTTCTTAATATCTATGCAAAGCAACCTATAAATAATTCATTTACTCCACGCGAATCTGGATCATTTGAAATGCATCAGTGCTTTTATCAATACAGTGCAATGGATTTACACTGCAGAGAAGAGGCTTGAGGGCATTTGGGCTATCTAAGTATTGTTGATGTGAGCATTATTACTAAAGGTAAATTGAAATAAATTACCTCAGTCACTACACTGTGGTTTTTTCAGCATGGTAAATAAAACCTATTAGTTCTAGGTCATTAAATTCAATATTAGGTTTTTAAAAAGCCTAGAAATTCTATCATGTTATTAGAGAAACATATGTGCTTCAGTGTTACAGATAAAAGAATTGCTTCATTATATTTAGATATTAGTTATTAGTGTATTTTTCAAAGGGACTTTTGAGATAAAAGTCCAGCTGCCATTCTCAGAGGTAAGCTGGGCACACCATGGTCCTGGCTCTCACTGAGTGGCAGGTTTCCAAATAACTGAGACATTTCTGAAAATGCCATTTGAAGCCTCTTGCTAATTTACTCATTATTCCTCTTCTCATAAGAATAAATATTGTATTTCCAGTATTACAGATGAAGTGAGTAGGCAGGGATCTTAGAGAGAAGGGCTTGATTTTCACATTTTTTTAAGTTCCTGTGACCCTCAGGATGTCCTTTTCTGTCCTGTACCTCAGTGCTCCTCCCTGCTTGAGCTCTTCATTTATATTGTGCTCTTCATTTTAACCTTTATCCTTCCTATTTGGCTACAATCACTCTGCAAGGATTGCCTCCCCAGGTCTGGCCAGTGTCTAGCCCAAGGAAAATTCTCTCCTAATTAAAATCTCCAGTCACTTACCTACAGCCCAAAACCCTGACAAGACCCACTGCTAGGTACACTGTCTTGCAAGATGCTTACAGCAAGTTGTAAAAGCATCCTGTAAAGAGTAAGCACTGACACGTTGCACCCAATCCATTGCAATAACCTCTGTCAGGATATTAAAGGCTGCTCTGATGTTTTTCTAACTAAAACAGCATCCAAGTGCTCTCAAAGTGGGAAAAATCTATTTGCCATTTAAGTACAGAGACAGAAGATTAGCATAAGCCCCTACAAGTGGCACATACAGTTCAGTCTCCACTGCTTTCTTTTACATGATGCTCCCTCCCCATGAGGAAGGAGCACTCCCAGGATGTGGGATCAGACTCACTGCAGGCAGGAATCACTGCAGCTCAAAAGGGCCACAAAACCAGAATGCATGACTCAACTGCCTTCTCAGGCCAGGCTTAAATAATGACTATGAGTTATTGTTTATAGAAGAAATCAGATGACCGAGCTGCTCTTCAGCACAAAATGGCAACAAATTTCTTTATCCCATTTTCTGCCGAACATGACAAGAACTTTGCACCATCCCATTGAGCCTTTCAGAAACCTGAGCTAAACTGCTGTGTGAGAGAAATTGCAGGAAAAGCCCAGTAATTGTGAAGCCTAATTACAAGGTAATGTGGTGCTCATGAGCAGAACTGCTAAACAATTAGGAACTAGGCTAACGAGTAGAGTAAGCCACCTGTCAGCTGGGAAAGGGCTGAAGAAAGGCTGGCACAGGACTATGGAAATGATATGAAAACAAGGAAATGTTCAAATACTACATTTAAGATACACAATATGAAAAGAGCCACTGATTGGAGCTCACATGCTTGTTAAGTATATGGACAATATAATTGTAGTTGTACAGGAAAGGGAAGTTCAGCACAGAGTGTGAGATGTGGAGTGATGAGAACAGTGCAGGAGGTGTGGGATGAATGGGGCTGGAACACACAGAGCTCAGATTATTTCTACTTGGACTGCTGGATAGGGGGGTGACAATTCATCAACGGCAGAACCCCAATTTTCCTGTACTTCACTGCTTTACACCTACTATAGTATAACATATATGCTATGCTGTCCTAAAAAATAAAACCCTCACAGTAAATTCAGCATTTACTCACACCACAGGGAAAACTTAACCAAAAGCAGTCAGTGGAAGTGGATTTAGAAATAAACCCTGGAGCAGTTCATTCTAGTCACAGAATCAAAGAATGGCCTGGGTTAGAAGAGATCTAAAGATCATCCAGTTTCAATCCCCTGCCATGGGCAGGGACACCTTCCACTATCCCATTTGATAGATGCTAATTAAAAAAAGTATTCTTTCTTCTCCCTAAACCAGTGGATAAAAATGCAAACTGAAATAGTAAAACATTCCAATTTGCAACTTTGTGCAAGTAAATTTAATTGCAATTCCATTAAAATAAATGCAGATATATTTACAAATGAGCCACAAGTTGTGATAGGAAGCTGAGACAAAGCTTGCAGTCTTTACACTGAAAGTGTATTTATGTCAGCCTTGAGACTGGTTCTTTTCTTTTTTCTTTAAACTCAATAGAATAGAATGACACAAAGCTATTGATTAGAAATATATTATTTTTCCACATGCCCATTGAGAATAAAGAAAATCCTAAAACATGAGCTCAATTGCATCAGTTTCATGGAACTTTCAGCATGAACTGCAATGCAGCTAATATTTCCATTACCACCATTCCCATGGAGAACACAGCCTGGAAAAGAGCTCCTGCACTCTGGCAGGTGTGTTTGTGAAGGTGTTTATTGTCTGCAACAGCTTTCCCCTCTGCTTGAGTGGGTGGCAGCACTTGCAGTTGGGGAATGTGTTAATTCAGCACTACCCTTAACACTCTCTCTTTTCATTACAAGTATTAAAATTGTTCCCAATGGGTACAGCAGACGAGGGAAACTAAACAGAGGAAGGACTTGATCCAGTTCCCCATTAAATTCAAAAGAAAAGCTAATAACTTCCATGATAATAAGAGCTGGACTAGAACTCAAATGAGCAGCACACCACAAATCATTTATTCACAACAAAGCTTGTTCTGACTGCTGCAATTTCCGGTGAGAACTGGAATCTACATTCCCCAAAAGTAGCTCCACTCCAGCAAATGCAACATGAATTAATTCAAGTATTATTTGGTTTTCCCTGACTGGCAAATGTAAGGCAGCAGAGGATAAAAAGAGAACATGGCTTGTGTGCAAGCCCCAGCCCAACTGCTGCTGGAGCACTGTTTGCCTGGATTTTAGCATTGCTTCACCTCTCTGCCAGGAAAAAAACAAAACAAAACAAAACAAAACAAAACAAAACAAAACAAAACAAAACAAAACAAAAACAAAACCAAACAGATTTGATGAGAGAATATAAACCTCCAGTTTTGTTTATGGCAAAATAATCACTGATGGTGCTCCAGCCACTTCTTCCAACCATGTGTTACATCACTTACTAAATTTTGGATGCTCTTGGAGAAAAAGGCTGTAGTTTTTCATGCCTATCTATGAGCTCACTGGGCAGCCCTAGATAAAAAGTCAGAGCAGTGGTGTTTGCATATTCTAGGAGGAAAACTGGAATAGGAATTTGAAGGTTGAAAAGAGGATTTTGAGGGCATGATTCAGGGCAAACAGCTCTCACTGCTGGAGCTAGGAGTTGGTCAAGATGATCTCCAGTGCAGAGGTCCCTTCCAACCCCAACCCCTTCATCTGGTAATTTCAGGAGCAGCATAAAAAACTGGAGGAATTAAGAAAGACATTAAAAAAAAATATCCAGAGAGCAAGGAAGCAAAGCAAAGATACTACAAAGTGCTCAAAACTCACCAGTTATCCATTTAGCCTCTGGGTCATGAATCTTAAAATCATCACTGAAGAGATCTTCCACTGTTATCTTCTTCTTCTGAGACAAGCTGTTATCTTCGACTGTAAAACATTCAAAAATAAACTACCATTAATTTAGCTTTGAAATGTGCCTGAAAGCACAGAAACTGTGAATAGTGACATGTCATAGCTCATTTGGAAACTGTCCACATTAAGCTTTGTGTCACACACAAATCCCTTCCCACTGTCAGTGCTGTTAAAGGAGCACCTAATGGTCCACTAACAACCCTCCTTGCTGTATATGCCTGGTCTTAACAGTTACAAAAAAACCAAGAAATGGCCTGAAACACACTTTTTCAGACATAATATGATAAAAAAATAATCTATGTCATGCAATAGGTGTCATAGTGATATATAATGCTTACTTTTTGACAGCTAAACCCTAAAATATTTCTGAAATTATGAACTACATTTTGAAAAGTATTTAAAATGGCCCATTTTTTACAGCTTGCATTTTTATTTCCTTAAAAATTTTACCATAAAACTATAGTTGGAAAATCATACAGATTACTCCAGGAATTCACCAAAGATTTTTCATGGGAATCAGACATTTGCTTGCAGAAATATTTCTGAAAACTCTATGAGACATAACCCTTAATCCTTAGGTATTGCATAGCTGGCCCATAATAATTTTAATTTTTAGTGAAAAGATATACAGTTTCATTTGTAAGCATGGCAATAACAAAGCTGAAAGTCTTAGAGAAAAACTAACAAATTTGAAAACCCAACAATTCTGATTAATATGTTCCCTCTTTCCTTTTCTCCCATCAACTGTAATATTTTTTGTTTTGACAAGCAGTCACCCTCTATGAATAATTTGTTGTCAACATTCAATTTTTGGCTGAAATAATGTTTTCATAGAAACTTTTCAGTCAGCTTTAAATATATTTGCTCATTTAAAGAAAAGAGGAGGCCACATTCTGAGTATTTCCACAGCAGGAATGTGTTTCAGCATCTTTCCTCATGACAGTACCCTCATGCCTGAGGTTTATTGGCAACCTTTAATATTGTTTAGTTCTAAACTTACACTGAACACTTATTATTAGGAAAGTGGAATAAGACCCTGAAGGCACTTATTTGTGGGAAAAAAAGTTTGTGCTGTACTAAATTGAAGCCCCTGAGCTACCTGAGATGACAGAAATATACATGTGAACAGTGTTTTGTTCCACTAAAAGGTGTTTCAGAACAAACTTTCACTTTTACTAAATTAAATTATATTCTTCACTGTTCATATTTTTACCCAGTCTGGTTGAGACCTCAATCATGCTGTTCACTGTGCCTTGCAAATTCCAGAACCCGTTCATACAAGTCCTCAGCCAAATCCCTCTGTGTGACAGTGCTATGCCAAGTTATTCTGCATAACTTTATCTATTAAAATGGAAAATATAGGTGACAAGGACCCCAGGAAATAGTTCCAATTAATTTCACTGTGGTGCAAGTCCCCAGAACTGGATACCCAGGGAGGTCAGGTGGGGCAGGAGCCCAGGCACAGCTCTGGGTTTGTGCCTGTCCCAGGAGATGCTTCCCAAATGCCCTCTGGAGGAGCACAGGCAGCCCCTTCCCCCCATGAGGGCAGAAGGACAGGCACAATCAAACCTCTGTGCTGCAGATTTGGGAAGAAACAGGGTGGGAAGCCCTTCCTACTCCTCCTTTTTGTGCAGGATGGGGACAGCCAAAGTTTGGGAGCTGCACCATCTCTGTTCCTCCACAGCACTCAGCTCCTTCTGAGGGACAGGAGGAACAGAGAGAGGCAACACCTGGACTTTGCACATTTTGGAGCCTCTCTGAGGGATAATATTAATAAATGACAAATAAACTAAATAATAAATCCATCAATGAATTTTAGTCATAGAAAAAATAAAAAGAGGTTTACTGGCCTCTCCTCTAACAGACAGGTAGGTCAGAGGGCTTATTAAGAGCATCTGCTCCATTCCTCTGGCCCTGATGGAGACATTTATGGAGGAAGAAATGCAATTGTGGGATCTCAGGCAACCCACTGTCCTGAGCAGCAGATTCTAAGTGTGTCTCAGGGTGTCTCAGGCAGCTGGTGGACAGAAAAGGTGTGTGCCAGGGTGTGCTGTCCACACCCAGCTGCAGAGACCTGGAGGTCTCTTTGGGCTTGTGGAAGGACAGGACTAAGCATGTGCCACTGTTTTTGTTTTACATTCAAATCCCCCAGCCCAGCAGACCCAGATGGCAGCACAGCAGCCAGGCAAGGGGCATAGGGACTTGGGATCTGAGTGCCAAGTGACAAACCAATATCCAAATTGCACAGCTACGTGCTGAGAGAACCAAGTAGAAGCTGTGTCCATATTGGTTTGGATTCAATGTTAGAGGCATGGCAGGAACCCTGTGTGTCATTATTGGACATGAAATGAGTGCACAGAAACTTGGTAAGTTTAAAAGAGAAAAAGACCAAATTTTATTTCTGACCTCACAATATATAGAATTCCAAAAGTGACAGTGGATTGGAGGATGTAATTGCCACCTCTCCAACCACACTGGTCAAACCAATAGTCCATCAATTCTCTCCTCCCACAAAGAAGAATGCAAAACAATCATTATTTACATGAACAGTTTGTGAGAACTCCAGTCAAAATATATAAACATCAGAAGGCACCGAAAACATTTTAAAGAACTTTAAAACTTTCAAAAGAACTATAAAAGAAAATGTAACACTTTTAAAAATCAGGGCAACACCAGTGTTTGGGTTCATCTGCATGCTCTTTATCCTTGCACCCAAACAAGCCTGGGCTGGACTGACATCCCATGGCTCTCCAGAACAAAGATCCTCCACCAATCCAAAAAAATCCAGCAAAAAGGAGCAAGGAGCTGACCTCACTGCCTGTTTTGCTTCTTCTCTTTCAAGCTTTTTCTCAACTCCAGCCATGCTCAGAGGCTGTTTGGCAGGTCAGAAGGCTGCAGCCACCTTTGGGTGCCCACCTGTCTTTCCATCACCCCTGGTGCTCAGCCAGATGCTCTCCTCACACCTCCTGGCCTGTTGTGCATTGCATGACAGTGAAAGTGCCTCCATCTCCCTGTGGCCAGCACACCAGGAGCTCCAGCCCCACCTCAGCATACCTGCTTGGTCCCTGGGCAGACCCAACCTCTCTTTTCCCCCAGATGACCTCTCTGTACCCAAAAAAGGAGCGGCCAGAAAAGGCAAACTTTACTCCCTTCTGTAAAATCCCACCTGTTTGTTGTAATGGTGTAAAATACACATTTATATATAACTATAGTTAATAAACTGCTCTCCTGCACAGCTGGTCAAAGGACAGTGCCTTACTCTGAGTATCACAAGAGCTACAAAGCTTTCTAGGCAATGCCTGTGACTGTCAGACAGCATGCTGTGGGTTAATGCTATGCAGTGACTAGCTCAGTAACACTTCTGAGAAATAGTTCTTATGGATTTTTCAAAAATTTTAATATGGATTAGGGTGTACTTTCTTTTTTTTCAACTAAAAGGTCAGATTTGAAAGGAGCAAATGTGATGTATATCTCCAGAAAGCTTTAAATATCAAGGACAGATGTATGAGAAATCAGCCTCTTCCTATGCACAATGTCTAATGGAATTTGGACCTTATTTTACTCAAAATTTCTGTAGGGCTGGGTCCTCTTCTCGGCTTTGCTCTGTGTGTGTGAGTGTGCATGGGCAGATTTCTGGAAAGTTCTGTATGTCTTTATATAAATACACAAGCAATGGAATGGGACCTGCAGAGGTGCCACATGCTGTGACAAGTGAGGAGCTGCCAGGTAGGAAAGCCTCAGGACAGCACTGTCATCATTTGTACAAATAGTTTCACATTTTTCAAAGGTGGGTGAAGTGGCAGGACTCACACACCATGAAATTGGAGAAGCTCAGCATAGGCAATGGTGTAGGTGTGGTGTCCTATAGTGTAATTAAATGTAAACTTCCACCAATTACTGCTTCTTTTGAGAATGCTGTTCTAGAACATCAATGGATACACAAATCATACAAATGTTGAGATGTTTTCAGGATTTTATAAAATAAGACATAAGCATTAGCTAGTAATAGAGCACTGCCACTGTAATTACAGCAAAGTCCACTGGTCCCAATTTTTGGGCTAATCTTGGAGCACGGTGAGTGACCTGCCCCTGAGAAATCCAGACCAGTAGGGATTTCAGCCCTTCTGAATCCAGAGTTAAAACATTTACAGGTTTGGGCTGATTTGAAAAATAATCTGGAAGAGACATAAAAATTCTAATTTCCCCCAATTATTAAATACTTTAGTCATATGTGTCCTACTAAGCAAATCTTGCTAAGCACTTTCTGTTCTTGATTTTAGAGGAGACTACCTTGAGAGATTACCCAAGGTCTCCCAGTATTTGACCAAGTTATTCCAGGTAAACTCTTTTCTTTGTCTGAGCATGGACTATATGCCTGCATGCTGCACTCTACCCCTTATATGTCCAAAGTTACACTGGAATTAGGCACTGAATTATATTCAGCACTGGTTAAAGCATCTCTGTATTTCATGCCTTGGTACTGCACTGCAAACTGGCCTTCAAACCAGCACCAAAATACTGAGAGAAAAATGGTTTCTCAGACAGGAAGAGATAGACTGAGATAAACAGGGAAAGGGGGAAACAGGGAAAAGTAGGTAGGTAGTAGTTACAGAGGGAAAATGCAAAAGGTTATTTGTTCTGGTGTGACAGCATCAGGCTTGACTTCAACAATATCATTGGAAGGAGGAATTAAAAACATTTGAATATCCTCTGATACTTTGCCCAAGCCATGCCAGCCTGCATCACCCCCTTTGAGGCTTTTGCAGTGAAGAGGGGCTTTTGTTTGGTTGTTTTGCTTATTTATTGATGTCACTCATACTTGGCAGCTCCCCTGAACATCCACAAAACTTCTCCACCTCCTTCCTTCACTGCGTTCCTGACCCTTCCTCACCTCTTGTTCACATATCCATCACTTAATTTTCAGTTTGACTACCAAAAGATAAACATTTCTTCTTCCAGAGAACTATTTTATGGCAGAGAAATGCAGACTCTGCCTCTCCTTTTGGACAGGCTCCTCCACCTTCCCCACTCCTACCTCGTTGGGACATGCTATGCCCAGCTGGGATTAGCAATGTGATAATTTTACATTTGTCAAACCAGTCTCAGAGTCCCACTTAGCCCAAGAAATGAGCCTCCCCTTCCCTTCTGCCATTGCCCAACCTCATAACAGGTTCCAGGGCCAGTGACTTAGGAGAAGATTGAACTCAGCTGCTGCCAAGCCACAGCAGCAACCTCAGCTCTGTAATTTACCCTTGGTATAGTCTCACCATGAAGAACTTTGGATCCATAATAAAAACAGGAGCAGTACTGAGCTCACAGTTTTTGCATGTGCATGTAAACACAATTCTGAAACATCAACAGGAAAAAAAAACACAAAAACAAAACAAAAACCAAGCCCAGCTTACCAGCAGATAAGATAATAAGAAATCTCAAAAAACATGAGTAGAAATTTCAGCATAGAAAATGACTTTGCATATTCCTGTTTTAAGCACAGAGATCCTCTCAATATTATTACCTGGAGATGTTGCTGGGTACATAATAAAAACTGTGTGATTTATAAGTGTGCATGTGTGTGCACACACACCCCAAAGGGAGAATGTCTCTGTGCATACATATAAAATACATATATAAAAAATACACTTCTGAATTTTATTTATAACTGAATATGAGTATTTCAAGAAGGAGAAGAAGGAGGCCCCTGGAAACTACAGGCCTGTTAATGACATTTCAGTGCCTGGAAAAGTTATGGAGATTATTCTGGGAGGTATTGAAAAAAAGCTAAAAGAGAATTCAGTCTTTGGTCACAGCCAGCAAAGCCTCATGAGGGCAGAGCCCCAGAGTCCCCTTAGGGTGATTATCAAACCTGATTTCATATCATGACAGGATAACCCACATTGTTGATCAAGAGAAGCCAGTGGGTTTAAGGAATTTGGATTTTGATGGAAGTGACATCCCTGGTCCCATCCAGGCAGTTGTTTAACTTCAAGAGAACTTGTTGAGGCTACAGGTGTGGATTTTATAATTAAGGCTTTCCTGTACATCTTTGAAAATCTGTGCTTCTGTAAATCTGCAGGCAACATTTGCATCCCTAACAAGTTGTGCCTGATGTGGGTGTAGTCCACACACCATTTCCTAAAACATCTCAGAGATGAGCAGCACTGTCCAAAGATGTTGAATCTGAACACTGGCAAAATTAATGTAATAAATAGTCTTTAGTGAAATGTAACCTTAATTAGTTTAATTACATAATTATGCTGGTATGACCACATGGAACTTAAATTTGCATTGAAAACTTCAGGATAACATGAAACAAACTGAATATGGCATGACAATAAATAACTGAAAAAATAATGTACTGATTGCTTCACTCATTTTCAGATTAGCTCAATGCACTCCTGTATTTCTTGGTTTGTCTCCAGTTCTTTGCACAGCAGGACTGTGGGGTAAGAATTTTGTCAGGGAAGATGGCCTAGACCTGCTGGACTGCAGGGAAATTTTTGCCCCACAGCTTCTGTCTCATTTTTCCACTTCACTACTCTGTGCTCTTCCACGTCCTGAGGTTTTATTTCTCTCTTGCGTCCATTCTGCTCCTCAGCTCTGTGCTCTCTCTCCTGTTGCTCCCTAGAGTCTACCACTCACATGTATTCATCCAAGAAGGAGTCCCTGTTCTTCTCCACTATATCCCTAAGCAAGGGACTTTTGCCTCCCCCTGTGTTTTGTAGCTCCTCACCCTTTCTAACACTGAATTCTTTTTCCTATGTCTCATCTCTCATTTTGTTTGTCTTTTCATATTCAGTTCACAATCTTGTCAGTGCTGCAAAAGCACTTTATTTCTACTCCCTAAGTAGGCATGGAAATTTTCAGAGCTGTATAAATGCATAATAATCAATAATCATAATGACACCACATTAAAATTCAAGCCTGCAGCCTCAGAGAAGTAATTTACAGAGGTTACATGCACAGAACTTTGCTGAAACTTGGTAAGGGGATTAACTAAAAGAATTCTTTATTGGGAAGTTACTAATTATTTGCTGTGGCTAAGTACAATCTGGTATATCATTATCTGAAATTGCTCTGTAAACACTGTGGTCTGAGTTAAAAATCAATCCAACTGAATGGGGTGGGATTTAGGTGCCAAGGCATCTAATGACATTTTCAGTGGTCCAGGATATGACACACAACTGTCAACTTCTGCTGCATGTGGACATGAATTTCAGGAGTTCCTGTGCCCTCACTGACTGCCCCATGTGTGTTCCTCTCTGCCCTGGCACATCTAAAATGACATTCCCCATCCATGTTAGGGCAATCAAATTGCAGGCTTGTGCCCTCAGGTCAGCAGCCTTGATTTCTGAACTGAAATGTAAAACTCTAAAACAATCTCCCTGAGAATAGCCTTGAACTCAGCATCACACTGAGATAAAGTGAGGAAGGAGGATTCCTTTGATGTCGACTTTGTAGGTTAGTTTGTAATCCCTTTTCTCTTGGAAGGGTAAAATTATAAAAGAAAACCAGACTGGAAGTGAGTTAAAGGTTATAAATACCTGGTGTCAGGAGTATGACAGAGGTGACAATCAGCGAGCAGATAACGAGAATAACAAGTAAGGCAATTGCAATTCCTTTCCAGTTTCTTTGAGGAGGATTACTGCCCACCAGCTCCTAGAAACATCAAAAGAAGATGAACATTTAGAAAAGGGCACTTAGACAAGGAAATAAGCACAGAATCCAGACAGCAATGCATGTCTGCAGATCTACACCTTGTGACCACTGTGGGTGACACCCTCGAGCCAAATACAGTTCAGGCTGTTACAATTAACGGTGGCATTAATTGAATTCATCCCAAATAATTATACAGCAAATAAATATAATGCACCCACAGGTGGCTCAGCAGTGGAGCCCACACTCCTCATTACCTCCTGGCACACGAGGAGCAGCCCCCATCCCAGCACTCATCCAAACTCACTCATCAACGCCCATTTCCTACCAACCCTCATTAAGTCTGGGAATGAAGAGCTTTACAGTAACCTTCAAGAGACTTTCATAATAAGATGTCAGAGAAGCATACAGGAAGATAAATAATTCACAGGGGCATGCATAGAGATAAAAATCAATAAGGATATCCCCCTGGTGAACTTTCTTGCCTTCCCAGAAAACATGACATCTCCTCAGGGCATCCTGCGTGCACTCCTGGGTTGGGAGGTCTGAGGAATTGAAGACAGGCTTCTTGTCTAGCATATACATTAAATTTAATCACATCCTTAAAACTTCAGAACAAAAGCTCCATCACCTCTCACTGATTAGCTCTGACTGCACTGTGGTTGCACCATATGTTCTGCCTCCAATGTATACAGCAGCCCTGTTCTCAGGACTGAGGTTTTATGAAGTGCTGTGCTTGCATTCGCAAGATCTTAAAAATTTATTGCACTTTCATGTCTTTTGCTGGATTCCTCTTAGCATTTTGCACTATATGTGGTTTCATGCATGCATTGAAGCACCCACAGGAACTGTATGAAATATTAGTGCACTCTGCTTTTCTGGGAGGCTGAATTAACTCAAGGGATCTAGTCACAGAGTCAGGACAACTCTGGATGCTCCTCCTTGTGAAACTCATATATTTAGGTTTTTTTGCCTCATTTCTTTTATTATGAGGGATGGTGTGTCTAAAACAGAGCTGCTGGTACTTCTTTAAAAGACTAATTTCTTTCCATTTTAAATTTTTTATGAAAACAAAAAGCTTTCAAGTAGACTAAGTTCTTCTGTTATTCAGGGTTTGCTTTACTTCTACTTCTTACACACAGCAACAAGACTGGAAGAGAGAAGTCAGGCAAACCTCACAGTTTTGTTTTCAGAAGATGCTGGGAAATATTTTTCAACCTTTCCCTAGAATTCATTTTACAGAAAAAGATAATGTCTAGACTCACTTTCTATATGTTTGGGGATCTAGCCACTACAAAAGCTATAAATTTGCAATGGAAAGACAAGTTTGAGGCATTAAACACCTGACGCACTCCATCATCTACTCTAATTCAGGAAAAGACACGAGGCTTCTCTATGGCCAAGAGGGGCAGAGGTGATCACAATCTCCCTCTTTGTCTTCCCCTTGTTTGCACTTGGCTTTCTATTTGAAATGAAAAATAATTAGAAGGAACAAATTTATAGTTTACTATCATTACTGGAGAAAAATTTGAAAAGTAGGTCAGGAGCTTTGAGAAATTTTGGCAACAAGTAAGAAGAATAAATATTTCCATTCCTACAGATTCTTTACCCTAAATATGAAGACAAATGTTAATTGATTTAGTTTTGTAATGCCATTTTTAGGAACCTGTTATAGTCTCCAATTTTCAGGTGATGCAAAAAGGCACAAAAGACAGTCTGTGGCTTTCCAAGAAAAGGAAATTTATAAATAACCCATGGAAATAATGCAGGGCTTCTTAGTAGATGGCAGAAATATTCTTTCTTTCACATCAGGGTACAGGGGGGGTCTAGATAGAAATGGGAGAACTGTGGAGAAGCAGGTGAAAAACCCAGCCAAGCCCTCAGAGTGTCTTGGGGCAGAATAAAACACTGACAGTGTTACAGAACTGATGGCAACAGTCACAGTCTTGAAAATAGTCTAACATTGTCACCACAAATGATCAGAAGTTTTAAAATTGAACAAGAAATTAGCTCATGGACTTTAATAAAAGCTACAGACGCAGATGTAGTTCAAGAGTTTTATAACACCTTGCATTAACTGTGATTTTCCCATCCATGAGTCCCACTGTGATAGAAACACACACATTCTTGAGCGTTCAGGACAGCTGTACTTGCACTGAATCCATTATCAAGTCAATCCCATTAATTCTCCAGGCATTCATCAATATTTGAGCAAAATATCAACCAAAAAAAAAAAAAAAAGACTGCGAATTTCTACTGTATTAAGAGGAAAAAAACTATTCATAAGCAAAATACTGGGGTTTAATACACTGTGAAGAAGTGGAAAAGAACATTTTCACTTTCTTTTCAAAATTCCATTAGGAAATTTCCCCTGGTAAAAAGCAAGGAGAGATAAATGACTTTTCAAAGAAAGACAAACAGCTTTATTCAGCACAGGTTTGGAAAGCTGCTCTTTTGTTCTCAGCCATTTGAAGTCTCTTTTGATAGAATCACTTACAGCAAAACTGCAGACACATCATACCATATTCATGATAGCATGGCCACCTCAGATTATTCCTGTCTGTATTTCTGTTAATTCCAGAGGGATGCTGCTGTGTCACTGTGACCATCTTTTACCTCCAGGGGATTACAGCTCCACCAGCCTGTGATACTCCCTGCTCTTCCCAGCAAACCCTCACCCTTCACTGGGATTTCCCAGCAGCAGGCAGCACTGCACTTGGGACTGAAGCCAGGAAGGTGTTTAATCCAGGGGCAGGTACTGATTCGAGCACATAAATGATGTTGTTGAAGAGGCAGCTCAAAGGGTGCATTTCCAGCACAGAGCTCAGAGCTGGGACTTGCCTGTTCCTGAAAGACCCAGCTTGCAGAGATAAACATGGAGATGTAAATTGGCCAGCAAGCAGATGCCTTTGTGTTAATCCTAAAGATAGCAAATTTGGGTTTTATACTGAAATCTGAGCATATGACACGAAGGGAAATAAACCAAGCACATATGGTTTCTGCTCTGATGAAAAGAACATGAAAGAAAACACTGAATTCACTCATCAGTAGGAACCACCTCCTCTCTGCCTCACAGGAAACACTAACACATCCTCCTGACCTCTGCAAGCAAGCTAAAGCCCTTCAGCCTGGTTTTCTCCTTCTTTTCCTTTGCTGCTTGTTTTTCACCTCCTTCTTCCTATTACGTGAACACTAAATTCAATTTGGATTTGGAAAGTAAACCAGATGTTTCCACAGGTTTTTACAGAAGCACGCTTCATTGATGCTGCATATTAAAAACTGCAAATGCTATCACTTACATATTCATTTGTGATTGAAAAACCTTGCTAGCCACCTGTGAAGTTGATTTTGGAGCCATTAATCTAGACATCTACAGCATTTTAAAACTCTAAAATACAGATCCACGGTGACATATTTTCCTGCCTGTGAAAGAATCACTGTGTTGACATGTTATGGATGAAGGCTGGATGTGCTCCAACCCAGGATGCTGTCAACAAAATTATTTCTGGCATGTTTATTTGAAACCTGCCAAAAGCCTGCCAGCACAGTGGTCATATTACAACAATAAAATAGCTTCTTAAAACAACTCATCAAGCACAACTTCTTTTTTCTTTTTTAAATAACCATGTCTATGTGGCTGAAGGACAATGTAGATATCACTTGTGAAGTATAGGTATTATTAAATAAAACTAACACATCCTGGACCAAAATCTTTGAAGTATCAGCAGTGAGATAGTCATGGTTGGCCTCAGTCTTTTTCAACACAGAGCTGACACTTTCATGCAACAATGATAAATCCCAGTTGTGTTATATGAAATATATTCCAGATACAAGTGCTGGATTTAGAGGTTCCTTGCAGAAGCAGGTGACACTAGGCCATGGACACTGAGCTCTGGACTGTTACACTAGTTGAAATCTGAAGCAAAAGACAATAGAAAATCCAATAATTTAATGCTATGAAATAAAAGCAGGTGCAAGATGTTTTGTTGGCGTCAGAGGTAGCACGATGGGGATTTATAATTTTGTAATTATAATAATTATTAGTAATTTTATAGGTTCCATACTTGCTACTCTTTCAGCCTCTGTTTCTTGCTTCTTTTTGATTTATTTATAATTTTTGACCTCAAATATTACACTTATAAACACAGGAAAGAAATATTCTTCTTAATAAGCTTGTTAACACTGATAATTGAAAAATGTCTATTACACCTTTCACTCATGCCACCTGGCTCTGAATTAGGACTTCTGCCTGATGAAATGTGGGTCAGTGTGGTGTCTCTGACAACTCAGCTTACCAAGTCCAGAACATGGCACAGAATAAGGAATGGGAACACAACAGTGTCCCCATACCCCATTTTTGTCCAAGACAAAAAACTCCTATGAAGTTCAGTGGAAAAATAATCTTATTGTTAATTAGTTCTTTATAATACAAAATTGCAGCAAATTATTCCTGCTGAATAGTACAACAAATGAGCCGAGGAGTGGGTAACCCATACAGTTATTAGATTATTAACCTTATGTTGCAAAAATGAAACACTAATTGCAATGATAATGGCAGTAAACGAAATGAATTGCAGTGGTTACAGCAGGAGGTTCACTGAGACTCCTGGTTATTCTGCTGATTGATACTGCATTACTGTCTCATCACAATCCTCCTGCCTGGATCCTTCTCTGCTCCCCTACCTTAAACCTAGGATGGAGGTTCTTCCAGGCAGGAATAATTTTTGATACCCCGCTTGGCACAGAAGGAACCTCAGTCACTACAGAATTTAGGAAGTATCATAACACAGATAAACAATAATAAGCATGTAACTGCATCATTCTCACCTCTGAAGTCAAGCTGAGTTACTCTTGCTTGGGGATATTTTATTTATTTTCTTTCCTTTCCTTCTCCTCCCTACTTGCCTCCTTCCCCTCTGCTGCTGCAGACCACCCTGGGCTGGAGTGCGATGCAGAATAACAACCAGTGGATGCAAAATAACACATGGATGCAGAATAACAAC